GTGGGTCAGTCTTCCTTAGCACTGCATGACCATATCCCGGGACAACCCGCCCTGAGTTGAGTGTGTTCCAGATGTAATCTCGTAACTTCTCATCTGACACGTCCTTGCCAACTTCCTTCTGTAGCTGTGTCAGCCAGACAAGCACCTCCTGATTTGCTAGTCCATGTAGAGGCCCCGCCAGCCCATTCATGGCTGCTGCAAAGGACAGGTAAGGGTCTGAAAGGGCGCTGCCCACCAAATGGCTTGTGTGGGCGCTTACATTACCTCCCTCATGGTCACTGTGGATAGTGAGGTACAAACGCATGAGCTCTGTGAACTGAGGGTCCGTGTAGCCTAACATGTTGGTAAAATTGTGGGACCAGTCCAGTTTAGAGTCAATGGCCCCAATACTGCTGCCCTCCCGGTACAGATTCCGGTAGATCTTTGCTGCAACACACGGTAGCTTGGCAATCAGGTCCATACAGTCTTCATAGATGAGCTCCCAGTACTTGGCTCTGTTCATCCCCTCAGCATACGCTCGGGCGAAGTTGCTCTCGCTGTTGAGGGCAGTGATGGCCGCACTGAGCTGAGACATGGGGTGCAGGTTGGTGGGAAAGTTGTCCAGCATGGTAACCACATGAGAAGGCAGAGCTGCCCTTTTTGCCCATTCTTGTGAGAGCCAAGATACCTGTTCCTCTGTGGGCATCTGTCCAGTTACCAGCAGCCAAAACAAGCCCTCAGGCAGGGGTTCTTCCCCACCCTTAGCCTTAGGCAGCAGTTTCTGGCATTCAGGGATACTATAGCCTCGGAAACGGATGCCCTCATCGGGATCAAGAACTGAGGTCTCATACACAAGTCCCTTCATGCCTCTCATGCCACCGTACATCATGTCCACCGTGATTTGGCCCACCACTGTCTTCCCATGCTGCTGTTTGAAGTTCTTAATTCTGGCTTGCTCCTTAGGTATCAGATTGCTCAGTACCTCTTTCAAATTCGTGGAAGAAGCACTGGCATGCCGGGCAGCAAGGACGAGACAGGATGAGTTCTTGGCTCCCAAGAGCCGGGCTGCCGCAGTGAGTAGAGCCATGGCGGGCGAACTCTGGGACCTGGAGGGAAGGGAACGAAGGGAGAGAGCTGCAGCTGCAACGGGAACGGCCGCCGCTGTGATGGAGCGGCTTATCTTTTTAAAGTAGCTCTGCATATTGTCACTATTTGACACA